AGGTCAAAACATTGTGCCAGAATGACATGGATTTGGTTTTGCTTTCTCTTCCACTGCAAATTAGTTTTAAAATTCTAATTCCAAAGAGTCTTGCATTTGCAGTTATCCTGGAGGAGAGTGATCATCTATCCTTTCAGCATGTTGCTCCATGGAATGGAGAAATATTAAAAAAGGCGGGGAGTAAAAAAGAATCCCTAACTCTGAGGGCTCTCAAATTTTGGATATGAGGAAAGCAGATCCAGTAGATCCTCTGGAGAGTTCTTCCAGCTCTAAGAATCTGAATTCTACCCAGAGAGCAAAATGTGGTCAGCAAATACTTCCATGAACCCCAGCGTATTTCATGATGGCCTTTGTCAGGCAGTGGGTGGGTGAAGCCCCAGGCTTCTCCATGTTCCTCCATTTGGTAACTTTTTTCCTTTCTTTTTGTCAGTACTAGGGTGACCAAAACACTCAGGCGTCTCTTATACAGTCAGAATCAGCAGAGCCCTGGACATTGAGGTCTATGGCTTCCTAAGGATCCTTAGCAGAAGAATCAGGGATTGTGCTCCAAATCCTGCCACTTCACTGCCAAGTGTAGCTGAATGAATAACCCAAACATCTGCCTTCAACAGGAACTCAGTACAGCACTTCCCAGTGAGTTTGCCCAGGAAGAGTATCATCCTGGATGGTAAAAATGGTTCCCAGCAGGGCCCCAGAAGAAGGAAGAGCTTCTGGGCCCAGTTTCCACCCTAGACCAGCACAGCGAGGCAGGGAGCATCTGTGTAGCACGGAGCACCGTAGGCATGTAAGCCTGGCTCTTAGCTCAGCCCTGCAGGAGAGCTGGGCAAGGCCACTGCAAAGCAGTGCCTCTGCGGACACCCAGGCTCCATGCCAAACCCCACCCGGGGCAAGGAGGGAGAAATGGCAATTCTGAAACAGAGCTTCCTGCCTTACTTTATTTTTAGCCCCAAGAGGGCAGGAGGGCCCCAAACAGCATTTAGAGGAAGGAGCAAAGGTAAGTAAGAGCTACGGGGCCATAGAGCCCTGGGCCCTTACCCTCACTCTATCACCTAGGCGCAGCAGCCATGAGCTCTCAGAGCCTCCTCTTCCTCATCTGAGAATGGGGCTAACAACAAGGCCTCTTCCCAGGGTGTTGTGAAGATTGGATCGAGATTGTGTACGTAAAAGCCCTTAGAATGGTGCCTAGCACACAGTGAATGCCGGAATGTTATTTACTGACAATCTCCTCCGACTAGTCCTCTCAGGGAAGCAGCCCCAAATGAGGCAGGAGGAGTGCTGAGTCTTCAGGCACCCACAGAGCAGATAGCCTTCCTTCTGGGATCCATGCTAAGGCCAAAAAAAAAAAGCTCCAAGCTCTAAAAATAGCTCAAAACCACCCTATAGAGCAGTCAGCTCCTACGTGTGCTGCTGCTATCCTCTGTGGGTGATGTGCCTGGTATTCACAGATCAGCCCAGCCTGCCTCCTCCCAGGGTCACCTCCAACTCTGCAGCCCAGCACAATCTCCCCCACCTGGCTCTGAAGACTCACTGCAGCGGCTGCATTACTCACTTGCCATTTGGCACATATTGCCATCTTTATCTCTGGATATACCAAGACTTCTACGAAATGACAAATTCAAAAGCACAGGCTATTTTTTTCCTTATAGTTCTTATATTGCCTGCTATTATATCTTTTTTTTTATTTCAGCATATTATGGGGGTACAGATGTTTAGGTTACATATGTTGCCCTTGCCCCCCCCACCCCTTTCCCCCCTGCTATTATATCTTATCCATAGCAGACACTGACATGTGCCTAGAACTATAGGGCGGTGGGTGGTCTCAGTGACGTGCCCCAGCACGACAGTCTCTTTAATATTCACATGAGAGCCCCAGAGCCTCCTATGGATCCCACTTACCTCATCGAGCTGTCTCTTCGTCTCTTCTTCCATCCTTCGAATGTCGTCCATGGTTAGGTCAACCCACTTATCAAGCCAACAGAACAGCTGCCTGTGAAAGTTTGTAAACAGACGCTTCTCTTGCTATAAAAAGGAGGGAACCAAGTTAGAACCCAGAAGGTGAAGGCCACTGCTACAGCTGTCCCTCCATGATCTCTGTGCTAACATCTACACTTTACTGGGGAAGTGGGGAGTAGTGATGCCTGACTGGCTTCTCTGGATCAGCCATAGGTCAGTGACCTTTGCCTTCACGTGTATGGCTTCAAGTAGGAGGGAGCCCCGAAGAAGGGATGGGTGCCTACCTCGCAGCTAGGCCCTTTGCCCAAAATACTATAGGACAGGTAGCCCATGAGCTCCTATGCAAGCCAAGGCCCCAGAACAACTGCCAAATTTCATCCTTGTTTCTGGTACCCAATGCCACATTAAGACTGGCCAGTAGCTGTGAAATGTGGCCACAGAGTGAGGTTTCTAACACACCAGGGAATTAAAGGGCTATAAAACTCCTTAAGTCTGCCCAGTGGAGAAATTCAGGCTACTAGGGAATTTGGCTCACAGTACCTCTTGCCTTTTGGCTTCAAGAAAAGAAAGACTGAGTTTTATTTGTAGTTCAGTCATAGAAAGTCCCTTCCTGTTTCCTTCTTTTGCCTCAATTTCCTTCCCTGTCACATGTGGTGTCCCTGGATGGACAGCATTAAACTGTAAGACAGTTAAGTGCAAGGGGAGGAAGGGGTCTGGGAAACCAAACTGTGAAGTAATTCTAATGTTGGCAACCCTATGATACAGGTCACGTGGGTTGTATGATCTTCTCTTGTTGGGCAAAACATACCCCCACCAACACACACACACACACACACACACACACACACACACACACACACACACACACACAC